ACCTGGACCAGAAATATAATTACAGGCTTTATATAATGTAAAAACCCGATCCAAGCCCATATAAAGTACAATCTTTTGGTCTCTGGTGATTTACAATCACCCATTACCTTTTCGAGTCACTTGAGTCTCAGCTTTTTAACTCTTCTTCCCCACAACCGTATGGTTAAAACTCTTAACTTAATGTCCCTTCTTGTCTGGAAAAGCCTTCATATTCTAGGAACCATACTTTTCCCTTAAAGCTGGTGCTCTGTGCCAAGTGCCTGGTATTGGATCAGCTTATTTTGACCTGAAGCTAAATGACTATCTCGCATTGTTTCAAAACAAGTGTGGCAAGAAAAAAACTCAGGAATCACAAAAAAAGAAGTTTTATGGTAAAAACTTGCCGTGGTATTACCGGGGCACAAAGGATTTGTTTTCTGATCAAAACAACTTTTTCAAAAATCTGCTATCACCAGAAATTAAACTTATGATTCGTAGAACAATTTTCAATAAGTACCAAACATGAATACCACTTAGCCAACACTACTTTTTGATGAATTCTTAAAGATGCACTGAATCCTTCTTTAGCTAAAGGATTGGAGTGAGACGTCACTTATTTCAAGAGCCTTAGCTCTTATTTTCATTAAGTTCGTGAAGTTAAATTCGAGGAGAGTTACAAGTCAACGTGAGAACTGGTTGGTGAATAAAATAGATAAGTAGGTACTGCAAGATCGATATAACATTGTTATGCCATTTGGTTGTGATTGTAAAAAGTTTTTAAGTTTTAAGAAAAAATGCTTAAAAAAAAAAAAAATTGCTAAACTTTACCGTCGTTGACGTTTACGTAAGTAAAAGAGTGCGTATGTTGTTTTAAGACCCATTGAGGTAAACGCTCATATGCATGGAACATACCCGTATTACAGAATTATTGATAAATTCTGGTCATTACAATACCTAATAAACGATATCCTTTTACACAAAAATTTCAATGAGAACTTCTCGTAATTTAATAAATACCTAATACGATACAAATATCGTCATTATATTTGGAAGCACGTAAAAGAGTTATTGATACAGAATGCTCTGACTTGGCGTTGAAAATAAAAGTTTTCATACAAGATCGCTCTCCTTTAAAGCACTTTTTTTTGTTACATCGAATGCTCTTAGATTTTCAATCTCTCTTTGTGGTCAATATGCATGAGACGAGCGGAGTTGGGTGTGTTTTCTAGCAGATCGTATTCACTGTTAGCCAATTTAATGATTTTTTCACCCAAAATAACAAAAAACAAAAAAAAACCGTTTTACCCAAACAAAATACCAGTGATTGACTAATCTATATGATTTGAAGTAATTCAATTTAGTGCCATCTTTGTTTTCAGTGTTTATAAAATTTTAACCTTAAAAATAATTCACTGTTATGCTTTTTTATGTTAAGAACTGACCTATTTGTAAATTTGTAACGTTTTGAGTTGGCATTCTTGAATTAAAATTTAACGAACAATGAAAGAAGATAAAAGGAGAAAGATTATTTGAGAAAAGTGAGAGGTGAGAAACGTGAGAGGTCCTCAACATTAAAGCACAGCTAAAAATTCTGTGAGTAAAAACGATCTCAGAGAGTGGTTCACATAAGAAGGTAGTTACTTCAATAGAAAAAAATTGCTTGGCATGGAGGGCTTACGAATTTTTAACTGTGATGAAAGTTCCGTACAGCTATGCCCCCAATTAAACAAACATTTGACAGAGAGGAAAACTTGTGCTGCTCACAAAGTTGTTAATTGTGGTGGAAAAAGAATAATTTACTGTACTTTTTATGTACATGGCTGTTAAATTTCGTGCACATCCTATGATCATGTACAAGTACAAGACAGAATTGCCTGATGAAACTTTAGCATCTCTTTCTAGTGGTTGAGGAGCTCGCATCTCTGATTCTGGATACATGACGATGGAGAGCTTTAATAATTATACTATTAATCTATTCCATCCTTGGTTATTAAACCAGAAGGTGAAGTTTCCCTTTGTTCTTTATTTAATGGGTATTCTTCCCATATATTTATGCCTTTGATCTCTTTTTGCAGAGAGAACGCAAAAGAGTCAATAAATCTGAGCCCTTATTGTACTTATATATCTCAGCTTTTGGATATTGCTTTTATGCGCCCTTTCAAAGCATGTTACAGGAAAACCGTTAAAAATTGATTAAATGAGAACAATGTGATAAAACAAACCAAAGGAAAGTTTTCTGTTGTTTCAAAGGAGACCCTAGACTAAATGAATGGAGAAGCAGATACAATGGTAAGACCCATCAGAGCCTCTGGAGTAATTCCTTTTAATGCCAATTCTGTTAATTACAGTACACTGAAGGAGAAGAAGAAGAAGGAAAATTAACTTACAAATCATAAAAAGGGAAACAAGACAAATAAAGACTCTCATAATAAATTTATGAAGGAATTTAAATGTAAAATTCCAGATTACATTTTGAATCAATTTGAATGTTGTAAAAATACTGGTATATGGAATGGTAATCAAGGGTTCGAAGGTTTATTCGATGTGTGGCTTCAGAAGTAGAGAGAAATGGTTACTACAAATTTTCACATTAATATTTAAAAAAAATTTTCTTTTTTAGCTTATTTGCAAATCATAAAAAGACATATTCACTGTTAGTTATGAATTTTTATACTAAACATTATCATATTTTGTGAAAATAGTTGTACAACCTTCTGTGTTTTGAGCATTTATGAACTCAAGTACAAGTAGCTTTTACTCAAAACTTACTTTCAATATTTAAAAATTCATTTTAATTGTTCTTATACTGTATCTTAATGACTGCAAAAATTTTTTTATTGAGTTTTCATTCAAAGTTTAATACCATTGATTAAAAATGTACAAAATTAAAACACTCATGAAGTAACGATAATAGCAAGACCTCTAACTCATGATTTAGAACCTGTACTTGAGACAGAAGAAAATGCGTTATTTGCAACAAATTTGGCAGAATCGACAATACTTGTGACAGTAATCTATTCCAAATCACAACAGATGTTGAAAAACATGTTAAAAGCAATAAGTAGCTTTTTATTAAGAGTATGGATATTTTTATTGATCCAACTGCTGCATGCGCAGTTATAGATCAGTCACTGACAAACTTTCACTCAAGAGATGTAAGCGGTGAAAACTCTTAAGGTGTTAATGGTCCTAGCCATTCAAATAATTTAAACATTTTATGTCTAGACTTAATGGATTTCATCTGATTGACTTGCCTTAAATTGTTGTTAATAGTCAATCAATATTGAAATCTGATGCAAACGCATCTACAAATTTAAAACCCTTGCATCGTTAGTCGCAAGTGTATTGCATACATACTTATTTGTATCAAAGTCAGTTATTAAACGATAATAATGATTTCAGACTATACTTGGCCTTTACCCTCACCTGTGTCTGCTATTAACAACGAAAATAGTAAGTAGACATGACGCGAATAATAAGTTACATTAAATGCACTCTTACCTACTCTTTTTTATATGCAAAAACCTACTTAAAAGTGAATGTAAATTGATAACAATATTATTCGATGGCAATCAGTACAAGAAAAGTTAAAAAGCTGCGATTACTCTTCCTCATTAATATCTGCCTAAAAATAAGAGAGAAAAGGTAAGAAGTATGAAGAAACCAAAACAGCCTTTTGTTGAAATATCGGACGAGTGGTTTAATGCCTGCTTACAGAAAGAAGAAAAAAGAGAAAGAATAAAGAGAAAAGTGCTGCAACCAAAAAATTAAGAGAACAGAAAAAGAAGCTGGCTAAAAAAATAAAGAGTTTTAATAAAAAAATAAAGAATAATCAAAAAAAAACTTAAAAAAGAAAAAAGCTGAACTACAGTTAAAACTTCTACTCCACATTAGCATAATAATTTTTTTTATACACTTACACTCTATCTGTCACACATACAGGTTAAACACATTGCTTAATTAAATGTATGTATTCAATAAGTAATTCGAGTTCGTTCATAAATTTTTAACCTCGTTTTTCCTTATTATTATTCTTACACTTAGCCAGTAAATAAATGACCTAGTAGTTAGCTTTTAATAAATAGATGATCACGCTGATTGTAAGCTTCTAGGATCATTGGGCTCAGCTGCTCCAGATTGGCTATTTTGAAGAATTTTAACAAAAGTTAGCATAAAAGCTTAAAACTAATTTTTCCCAAATCTTTTCATGATTTTATAGTAGGGGCTAAATTATGGAACATAGGTGCTAAGGTAAAATGCACCTTTTATAACACGTACAAATTGGTCTCCTTGATAATTTCAGCATTCTTATTAATTAATTATTAAACTAAATGTTTGACTAGAATCTTTCATCAAATTTAGAGTTTCCCTATCTATCAAGATAAAATAACACAGATTTCAACAAGAATTTAGTTAAATATCGATCAATTACAACTGACCACGAAAAATTGTGGTCATAACAGGGGCGTTCACCTTAAATGAAAAACCATGAAGATTTAATTTTGTACGATCATGAGCTTAAATTAGCATACATTTACTATTTTCTCATTTTTTACTAACTACGTTTTTGTGTTAAAAAACGTATTCAAAATTCTGAACAGCATCGAATAGAACTTTTTCTGGCTAACGAACCTACGAAAGGAATTTCACTGATCCTTGCAAGCCTCGTTTTGCTTCATGATAGTACTGCATTAAACAAATTTATTTTATTGGTTAATCTTTTGAAAGCTTGACATTTATCGAAATTGGACTAATTTAACTAACGAAACTTAAAAAAATTTTATAATGTCATGTCAATGTTATTCTGCCACACTACAGTGTGACTGTAAGACATTCATGTGGAGTGGTGGAAGTTAAGTTAAGTATCAGAAAATAAAGATTTATCGTTGTTAGGAAAGTATTGAGAGTATGTTCAATACTTATTCCTTTTTGTGTCCATTACATAAAACATAATATAGTTTGACTGCAAATGAGGTAAGTTGTTAAAAATTATGAAAATGTTAGCTTAAAAAAGATTTTACCTGTTAAGCTGTTTGTTGGCAAGGTATATCCTATTAACTGTCCTAATCCAAATTTTGAGGTTCTTCGTTTTAAGAATGTTGCTGGATATTGACGATTATACATTTTCTCTGCAACAATAAGCCATTTCATGTAAAATCGGAAGAAAACTATACACTGACTTTTTTTAATGGTTACAGTTTTTAATAATAATTACTGTTAAAGATTTAAACTACTAATACGAATTTGCTTATGACTGTCTTTTTAATCATATCAATGGTGTATGATTTGTTTCCCAAGGTGACTTCATGTGGAATTGATAAAATAAAAACACAACACGTAATAATACATATAAATGTATTTAGTTGAATTTATGCGCTGCTTAAGGTAGGACTATATTTATATACCTAATTTTATACTACAATTATCAAAAAAATAAACAAACAAAATCAAAGAACATAAGCGTGCACGACGAAAACATACACTTTGGATTTTTGACTATGAAATAGAACTCTGGAAAAAGAGCGTTGGTCACTTATCCACTTTTCTTATTTAAGTACAATTACGAACCATCACTTTAGAGAGTTATTAATGTAACGGTAAAAAACTTTCTATAAGTACTTATATCATATACGTTACAGATTAAGAGATAGGATTGTATTCATTCAGAAAATATTATAGGTGTATGTATTTGACGATTTTCAATTAAAATAAATAGTAAATCTCGGATCATACAGTAAAAGAGTTTTTCTTTTTGATGTGTCACGAAAAACATAAATGTCTGTACGTTAAATATTATCCTTACTTCTTTTAATGTCTGATTACTTAAATTTTTAAGAATATTAGATGACTTAAATGACTTAACACTGACATACTTTTGTACCATTGACGAGCCCCACTGGTAGTTGGGGCTAGACGCTGCTACCTCTAATGTTGCGCTGGGGGAGAAGAAGTAGGTAAGGCTTGATGCAGTAACCAGGGGTGGTACACCTACAACTGATAAAGTCGTACGTCTAACTGCAAAATAAATGTGGCAAATATTTTAACAAAGGTATCTGATCCCCAAAGGCTATGTCAAGAGTACTTCTAAGTGCATACCAGCTAGTACTCTCTCGTACAGCTGGGGCTCATGGATGGTAGTGATCTTGCTCTTTACCCTGGTTTTGGATAAAGATGCCATGGAAACACTTTACACAAAAATTTTCCAAAATTTTCTGACCCCTAATTTTTTATTTTTGGGAGCTCCTATAGAAGTTATCCCCACCTAAAGATCTCTCATGTTAGCAGTGTGGTTCGACCCGTAAGTGGCATAAGGAAAATTCCTGTCAGAAAAACGATACCTAGGTTGCATGCTAAAGTAATTAAGGTTAACTTTAGCTTTGGCTAATCAAAAGATGGATGGCTGGATATAAAACCAGGTCTGCTCAATTGGTTAGCTCTGGCGAAGGCACATGGTCAGGCTGAATTGGCTGCGCTGCTGCTGTAATCTGGTTTGCCCAGCAAAAGTCTATTGGATAGTGAGAATCCTGGTGTGCCATTGCTAATTCTTACTGGCTGTAAGACTTTTCCAGAGTGACAAGTACGTCTTATTGCGTTATGTCAGCCAGATTCTTTTCAGAGAATAGATCGATTCTCAGTTCGAACGCAAAGCCCAAAGAAAGTTGAAGTAAACTAAAAGTGCTGCATCTTACAGACATAAGTTGGGGATACCATTTATCTGCCTCAATAGATAGAGAGATCCAGATGTTTGAGTTTAGATCTTTAAATACAATTTTGTTTTCAACTCAGGAAAAGGAAAAAAGAGAAACGAGCTAAGGTAGGCTAACTCTGACCCGAAGCCACTGGTTTTTTGGCTTGGTTTGACTGGACAAGTCTAAATGAGAAGCTTATCTCTAAAAGATTGCTGACATTGCGTTAAATACTCTCATTAAAGCACTGTTGCAGCTTAGGGTGATTGATGTAAAGCGTAACAATATGCAACGTCAAGCATCTTAAGGGACATTGTCAAACTTGCCTTAGCTGCAGTGACCACTCTTCAGCACCTCGAGGCGAATTATAATAGAAGAGACGACTTACTTTTGTCCAGTAAAGGTAATAAATACACTGATGTAAGACATCTGAAATAAATCCAAGAAAGCAAAGGGGTCTTGCTTTGTCATTATTAAAGCATACTCAGCGATTTCTAAGCTCTTGTCTAGAACAAAATTAAATAAAAATTTGTTTTACAACCAATCATTGTTCATGACTCTTCGTGAAATTATCTGACAGAGCTGCTGTTGAGTTAGCTTTTCGAGCATGATTTCACGCGCATCCCTTGAAATGGCAAAGATGAACCTTCGGGCATAGAATCGCGATTTCCGACAGAGTAGATACCACAGTTATTGTTCCATCGCTCCACCAATCAAACAGCCCACGATAAAGCAACACAGTGAACGATCGCATCTCAACCCTATAATATCCGCTCGTGCATGCGGTTCTCGCAATAGGCCGTCACTCTGCCCCTTCCCCCGCAGTCAAAACAACCATAACAAACCCAAAACGAGCTTATTAATGCGACGTTGCAGCGATTGTTCCGGTTCGCCCTCCCGGAACTTCTCATCCGTAAGTACACCCACTCGAAATTTCCTGACTCTGGCTGATTCAAAGCCATCTCGAGCCGTTTGCACGAGTCAATCTTTGCCAAAGTCACACAACCCTCGCGAAAAGTTACTCGGGTGGAATAGCTGCTCTTCTGCGTTCCGTTGGATCCTCAAAAATTTGGTTGTCAATTTTAATTGCCTGTACGTGCACTTCTTTGGAAAATAATGTGCGTTATTCTTCGTACATTTTTTTTTTTTTTTTTTTTTTTTTTTTTTTTTTTTTTTTTTTTTTTTTTTTTTTTNTAGGATTAATAATATATATATATACATGTATGTTTGGTGTAACGAGCTTGAATCCCTACATTTGTATGTAAAATTACTACAGCTATACAGTGGTATGTCCTTAATAAGGTGGGCTCACTTTTTTTCTTTTTTAACTTCTTCGCAACATCGGCATCAGGAGTCGATTTCAGCCAAGGTGGGCCCACTGTGTTCTTCATTTAAACATTCACCTTGCTTTTTTATTTATATCATCCTCTGACCCTTTCAGGTTTAAAGAGCTTGCACCATGATAAAAGCTAAGTACAATTTTATTCATTGTTAAATATGTAAGAACATTCGCGATTATAAGCTGACGTAAAGTAGTCCACTGACTACTGCTCGCAAGTAAGAGAGAGAGTAAGATCATGTGTGTACTCTCGAATGTATGTGTGTGCTCTGGCGCTCCAAATGCTAATTTACGTCTACTTGCTAAGCTCTACGCATTGCTATAAGTCGTTCTAGCTTTCATTTAAAAAATCAAGGACGTAAATCTAACCGCTTTATTTTTTCAAGAAGTGTGAAAAGGAGTTTATTATTGACAAAATACATTAATTTTTAAGTAAACATTTAGTGTAGTGTATTATTTATAGTGAGAGATGACTGTCGTGACAATAAACATTCTCATGTTCCCCCTTTCCCCTGCTACATTTCGGTGTTAATTTATATCATACAGTCCATTTTTTAGTCTAAATCTTTATCATTTTAGTCCTTTGAGCCAGATTACTGTCGGTGGAGCAGTGGCAGGTCCCCTAAGTTAAACGGCTTTTTTTGTCGTTTATTTTGTGGTGAATCTTGTGGCAGCCATTTTTCGTTGGCCTCGAATCACGTACTTTGGCCCACTTTGACCTCTCGGCAACTTGTCTCTCTCTTTCTTTCTCTCTCTCTCCCTCTGTAATAGTAGATTGGTACGTGCTGTGTGTCACGTGTTTGTTTTTTTGTTTTGTCAACTCTTAAGCTGAGCCTACGTATATAGGTGTATACTTGTGCTACGCATGCGTATACAGTATTAGTTTTGGTCTTTGTATTTGGGTAAAGAGGACACATAAGAATTGTTTTAAACAAAACATACTTACGTAGTATATTTTGATCACTTAATACCTCTCTCTTACTCGTACCATTTTATAAAATAGTATCAGTTAATCTTGTTATGAGCGTATAGCGTTGCGTGATCTTTGGTTTCGAATTGGATTGTATGTAGCGTGCAGACATGAACTTACCAGCGGAGACTGTGGTTCTCCTATTTGATTACTATTATTTACTAATATATGTTTCATTTGTAAATTTTAGTACGTAACTACTGTCATCGCTCGGGTCAACCATCACTGCAGTCATTGCATCTACAGTCGCAATAGCCGTCTTCTTACCAAGCCATCGTAAGCTGTGTGTTCAATTGTTAGCACACTGAGGGGTCTCGCTTATTGACGGATGCTCGAGTTTGTTTGTCATCACACTTGATAAGTTGTTAATCGTCTACTGAGTTAGAAAACGTCTAGGAATAACAGTTTAATGTGTCACTTTAGTTTGCCTACTGTTGCGATGAAGTAACTCGGGTTGAAAAAATTTATTACTGTTGTTAAGTACTGCGTTTGATTTGAGATTGAGTTTGTTGATGAAATATTGGGTAAAACCAATTATCTCTGTCAGGAAATAATAATCACTGACTCATATGTGTTAAATCAGAATAAATTTTTACTTTTCTTATAGCATATTGTTTTTTTAATTTATTTTCCTATAGTTTGTACAACCTAGCTTACATCTTAGTTTAATTTTTCTTTGTTTGAGATTTGGCCTCCGCAAGATTAAGGAGGTGTATTGCTGGATTTGCTTCCTCTCGAAGTTAATAAACTTAAATAGCAGGTAAAAGAAAATAAGGCAGGAGCAGAGAGATTTTCTCTTAAAAAGAGTTTAATAAAAATAATTAAAAAAGCTACAATTGGTTACAAAGTGGATGCGCATGTGCGAAGCACAACTTGTTCGCTCAGAGGTAGCGGCGCGAGAGAGAGAGCTGGAGCCAACGACGCTACGCAGTGCGCTTAAAGCCGCTGAGCTAAAATAGCCTCCCTACTTCTACCTACCCAAAAGGGGCCGCTGCCAAGTACGCACAAGCTACCTGAGTCTCGTCGTTGAGACCATTTTCACTTAGTATAGCAAAAGCCTATACATACCGCCAGCCCCGTCGGAGACGCCACGCATACTATAATAATACGTAAAATAATATATGATCGAAAGTA